TTTCGTCTACTTTTTTTTAGCACTAAATACATATTTTTAAATAATGTCAAAAATGAAAAAAGACAGACCTTTTTTTTAATTTCATCATATGTAGTGCCCCTCATTTCTTTTGTAAGTTAACATTTATTTTAGTCAAACAGAATTATATTATATGTTTTTGTGTTTACTTAAATTTTGTAATAAATGTGTTTATATTAATTGTTTAATTTATTTATCCTGTTTCTAAGTAATATAATTTTTTTGTATGTATTTAAATTTTTTTTATTTAAAGTAGGTATTTAAAAAATTAGATTTTAAAAAATACTTTATTTCAATTTTTTTCAAAATAATTGAATTTGCAAAAATAATTAATTTTTAATTAATTTTAGTAAAATTTAAAAAAAACGAATTTTTAAAGAATTGTAATTCAACATTTTGAAAATAATTAAATTTTGCAAATTGTCACAAATAAAAATATTACAAGAATTTTTTTCTGTCTATTTAGTCAATTTTATTTTAAATCGAAATATTAATTTTTAAATAATTTTATTTCAACTTTAAAAACCATTTTGTAAAGGCCACAATCTTTTACAAAAAATAAAATATTTAAAAATTAATTTTTCATTAATTAATACATTTTTAATTATAATAAATAATTTTTGAATAATAATTTTGATTTAAATGTTTAAAAAATAGAATTTTGGTGTTCACTTTCATTTCTTATTTTAATATATTGAAATTATTTTCTTAATTATTTTTAAAGCGCTTTTTCTTGTCTTTAACAATACTATTATAATTGTTTATTAATAAATAAAAAATTTTAAAATTAATTTACGCAAATTTGTGAATTTTTAATTAATAGATAATATTTAAAAAAATAATTAATTTTATAATAACCTTTTCACATGACCTTAAGTCATGATTTTACAGTATTATTTCGATTCACTTTTAATTTTTATATTCACCTGCAATATGAATATTCAGAATATTCAAATATCTCCGTGAAAACCTTTTAAAATGAGCCCGCCCTTTTAGGTCGATGAGTCAGATTACTTTTCTATAAGCAAGTTGTAGAGCCTGTGGAAGATTTTTTTTCTCAGCCAGATATCTGTAGTGTAGTGGTTAGGGTCTTTATATAGCGCTCAGCAAACGTAGGTTCAATCCCCAGCACCACACAATTTGTTTTCAAAAGTTCTTGCTCAACAAGCATGCAGTGCTTGTTTCAATGTGAAACAAAGCATCAAAACAGAGCAACAATGTTTGTATATTATTTATTTTATTTTTATTCCCAGATAGTAAATTTTTTTTATTGATAATAATAATAAAAATCGGGTATCTATCTATCTATTATTATTATTAGTATTATTATTATTAGTATTATTATTATTATTATTATTATTATTATTATTATTATTATTATTATTATTATTATTATTATTATTATTAATATTAATAATAATAATAATAATAATAATAATAATAATAATAATAATAATAATAATAATAATACTTCTTAAATATTATTTTTGTATTTTTTACAAATATTTCCGTCCAACATTTCCTGAAAATTTAATTTAAATTTTCTGGAAATGTTTGTCACAAAAATTGACTGAATATTTAAATTACATTTTCACTCAACTTTCGCTATAAATTTTTAATAAATATTGAATTTAAATGTTCAGTCAATTTTCGCGACGACTATTTCCTGAAAATTTCATTTTAATTTTTACTCTATTTTCACGACGAACATTTCCTGAAAATTTCATTTAAATTTTTAGTCAACTTTTATGCCAAATATTTATTTTGGTGGGACATTTAAATCTTTATGCAATTTTTATTAAACTTTGCAATTAAATATCCCCAAGATTTCATGGAAATCTTTACGAAATTTTTAGTAAAGATTTTCTGCTGTGGGGGTTACTTAAGTGACGTTTTAGAAAAAATTCTGTTGGTTTTAACAACGTTTATTAACCGATTTATTAATTAAATACAAATAAAGTTGAATATTAAATAAACCGTTGTCGACGCGCGTTCATTCAGTAGCGTGTGAAGACAGAAACTAAAATTGTGTGTGTGTTAGTGTGAATAACTTGTGTACTTGAACTCTAGGTGTCTCTAATAATGCGTGTTGCATAATTTGAATGTCTGATAATTACAACACTCCCTCTCAACACGTACTCACTTTGATTTAACACAGTTTTTCCTAATTCCGGTACAACACTTTCGATTAGATGGTCCGAAAAGGCTTTTGGTCAGCATGTCTGCAACCATTTCGCTTGTTGGAATACAATCGACGTCCAATTCTCCTTTCTGGAACACTTCACGTACATAATGGTATAGGATGCTCACGTGTTTGCTGCGACCTTGGTGAACTGAATTCCGCATAAATTTTTGGGCTCCGTGATTGTCACAGTAGATGAGAGTCGCTTTACTTTTCGGTTTCAGCAATTCTAGTTCTTGTAGAAATCTTCGAAGGTAAACTGTCTCCTTGGCGGCTTCCAACAAGGCCATATATTCAGCCTCGGTGCTGGATTGGGCGACTGATCTTTGTTTTCTTGATTCCCACGTGATGGAACTGCCAGCTATTAGGAAAGTGAAGCCGGTATATGAACGGCGATCATCGATGTTAGAACCCCAATCGGCATCAACGTAACCGACTAGTTGTTTGCCAGTTTTCGAGAACTAGAGTCCTTCATCACGAGTTCCTTCAGGTATCGAAGGACGTGTTTCGCGCCCACACAGCGCAGTATATTGCTGTAAGCTTACCTTAAGCTAACATGTAATTTTTGTAAGCTAACCCTGTAAGCTTCAGGTAAGGTCGAGGTAATATAAAAATGTCCGCCATACAGTAATAATAAATAATTTTTTTTAAATATTTATGCGCAGTAGCTTTCTATGGCACTTACGAATGCGCAGTAAATTTTTTTAAGCAAACCCTACCGGGGTTTTTTATATAAATGACAAAATAAATATAATTGTGCAAAACAATTTATTGTTTACTGTAAGTTGATAAATTAATACTTTGTTATTTGTTAGCAATTAATATAAGCTTACCGTGTAAGCTTACTGTAACCTTACAGTGATCTTACCGTGTAAGCTTACAGTGCCCCTACCATGTAAGCTTATCATGACTTTACCATGTAAGTTTACCATGGCGTTACTGTGTAAGTTTACCATGTCATTCTTGTGTTAGCTTACTGTATGGCGGACATTTTTATATTACCTCAACCTTACCTGAAGCTTACAGGGTTTGCTTACAAAAATTACATGTAAGCTTGAGGTAAGCTTACAGCAATATATTGTGCTGTGTGGGCGGCGATCCAATGAGCTTTTCCTGGATCACGATTAAATTGGCTTAATGCACTCACCGCGAAGGCGATGTCTGGCCTCGTTGACACTGCCAAATACATTAGCGTTCCAATTAACAATTGATAAGGAATCCTCTTCATTTCGTTGATTTCCTCATCGGTGCTTGGTGCCATCGTTTTGCTCAGCTTGATGTTTCCATCCAGAGGCGTTTTCACGGGTTTTGCATCCTGCATTCCGAATTTTAGTAAAATGTCATCAATATATTTTCCTTGATGCATGAAGACGCTTTTCGATGTCGTGTCCTGTTGAAACTTAATTCCTCGGTAATAGTGCACTTTGCCTAAATCTTTGATGTCGACTTCTTCCTGGGCGATCCTTTCGATATTTGGAAATCCTTTCAGGTCGGAAGAGGAGGAATCATAGTCGAGATTCTCTCCTGGGTTTTCGTCAGTCATCTCATCGCTCGATGATGAGTCTGTACACACTTCGCGTTCTTCTTCGTTGACAGTTTGGTAGTCCGAAGAATCCTCGGTATCGCTGCTCACGATGTCATCATGGTCCTCTTCGTAGTCTGCATGATTGTTTGGAAAATCGAAAATAATCGTCGAACTGCTCTATAATTTTTCTGCTGTTTCTGTTCTTGCTTTTTCGAAGTTCTCGATGAATTCGACGTCTGAGCTGCATACAACTTTTCTCGTTTCTGTGTTCCAGAGTCGATATGCCTTGGTTTCCGTTGAATATCCGATGAATACACAAGGAGTTGATCTCGGTTCGAATTTTCCTTTTCCAGGTTTCTTCTTGAGAGCATAAGCTTTGCAGCTGAAAGTTTTGAAGTGAGCGACCGTTGGTTTCTTTTCGTACCAAGCTTCGAAAGGAGTTTGATTTTCCAGGGCTTTTGTAGGGCATCTGTTCCGCAAGTAGACTGCTTTACCCCAAAAAGTTTCCGGTAATTTAGAGTCTAATAGTATGCATCTGGCCATTTTGACGAGCGTGCGATGCATTCGCTCGGCTTTGCCATTTTGTTTTCGGCGAGTAAGCTACTGCTCTTTCTCGTTTGATACCGCTTTGATCCAAAATTGATGTGAATTCAGGATCGCAGTATTCCAGGCCATTATCTGTGCATAACGTTTTTATTTCAGGCGCGGATCCACGGTGGGGCGAAAGTGGCGATCGCCCCCCCCCCCAAAGCTTTTTGAAATCTATATTTTATGCAAATTTGAATCGTTATCTAAGCCACTTTTTTCTTTTTACTTTTATCATTAAATATACCAAAAAAGAAAATTTAGATTTTTATATGATACACACTATATGTTTTATCTTAATTTTCATAATTAAAATAATTTTCAATAAAAAATTTTATTTACGATTTAAAAAATCTTTTTTCGACATGTGATATATTTCAGCGTCACAATGACTCGTTCTACTCTTGAACGGACATTCTAATTGCGGTCGATCTCCTCGTCGGCTAAAGCAATTTTGTTCTTTATGCCATTGACCAGTACCCGACTGCCATCTGTGAGGTCGTTCTGAAGTAGTCGAGTGAATGTTTACATTCGCGTTTGCAAAATCATTAGCCTTATAGGTTATTTCCTGATTAATTATTGTTTATGAGATATGTTGTTTAAGACCAACGTTAAATACAGTGATTTGCTAATCTAATATATTACGGTATATAAGTAAGTAGGTTATAAGTTTTATTGTAAACTTCAAAAATGTCGAAAAAAAGAAAAGGAGATAAAATTTCTATTCATGAACAAACTAAATTGACTAAGTATTTCCAAAAAGAGAATCTATGTTCTGGTTTGTATCTTTAACAAAAAAATGTTTTTATGTCGAAAATAGCCAACATTAGAAAATATAATTTATATTTTTAATTTTTTATACAGTTACAATTAATAATGACAAGGAAAATTTAATCAAAGAAACTAATGTCACAGATGTCGCAAGACGTCATGACGCCTTGAATGAAATTGAAAAATCTGAGCAGGCTAAATCTGAGACTAAGCAGGTACAATTCGATTCCCTAATCGACTCTTCGACAGTAACTAATGATTTTTCCAGAAAAATAATTCAAAACACTTGTTCAGGTAACTTGGAGAATTTTATAGTTTCATTGAATCTGTGACTTTGTGAATCAGGTTTAAAAATCAGTTAAATTCATTATTTACAGAGAATAAAATAGTCGAAGAGTCAAATATTGAAACAGGAAATATTACAGAATCTCTAAATTTTCAAATTGATCAAAATTCAAGATTTTCTAAGGATGTTGCAGATTTTACCCAGGAATCGAAATTATTAGAAAAAAATGAGGGCAAAAACGAAAACGTAAAACTTGATATTGGAAGCTATATAGGAATTCCAGTTGACGATTTGACAAAAAAGTCGCTGTTACTGAATCTCTGGACTCCGCCAAAATCCTATCAATTTCCTTATTCTTTACATAATAAAAATGGTAAAGAGAAGAAAAGATATGCATCGCAAAAAAATTTGGATTCTTATACTTGGCTTGCTTTTTCTCACGTGAAACAGGTATATTTCTGTAAATTCTGTTCTTTTTTTGTTCCGGGAAGTATGGGCGGTTTTCAGAAAAATGTGCAGTTAAAAGAACTTATCACCGAGCCATTGAATAATTATATATAATTATATATAATTATGAATAATTATTCTCGGTCAGAAGGGCTATTTAAATTGTCATGAAAAAAATTCGTATCACATTGAAGCCGTAATAGCAGCAAAACAGTTCTTAAAAGCTGATCAAGATCCTTCATTGAAAGTTTGTAATCAAGTTGATTCCTACAGATTGGAAAAAATCAAAGAAAATCGTAGCAGATTAATACCAATAGTACACGGAAAAAACAAACTAACTATTTTAGCACCAAACTGCTTTATCCTTTATTAGTATGCAATTTCGTTTACCTATTAAAGTATGAAATAATGCTTTTTTAGTTTAAAGTAAGTCCATACTAAATAAGTATAATGGTTATACTCTTTTAGTAATAGTGACGTACTTTAAAAGCATAAAGTTGATGCCCACGAAGTACGACATATAGTCTACCTAAAATAGCAAGAGCTTCTTCCTTTTTGGTGTATAAATTCTTGCAACCTGCGTTTTGGCCACGCCTCCTTCTCCTTCCAACCATTGATATATCGATATAGGCCAAAACGCAGGTTGCAAGAATTTATATACCAAAAAGGAAGAAGCTCTTGCTATTTTAGGTAGACTATATGTCGTACTTCGCGGGCATCAACTTTATGCTTTTAAAGTACGTCACTATTACTAAAAGAGTATAACCATTATACTTATTTAGTATGGACTTACTTTAAACTAAAAAAGCATTATTTCATACTTTAATAGGTAAACGAAATTGCATACTAATAAAGGATAAAGCAGTTTGGTGCTAAAATAGTTAGTTTGTTTTTTCCGTGTAGAAACTATTATTTTTGTTGGTCGTCAAAATATACCGCTACGAGGACATCGTGATGACGGTCAACTTGATGTTGATAATAATAGTCCAATAAACGAAGGAAACTTCAGGGCACTTTTGAAATTTCGAATTCAGAGTGGAGATATCCAATTGCGTAATCATTTAGAAAGTTCATCTGTTCGTTCAACATATATAAGTAAAACAACACAAAATGAACTCATTATTTGTTGCGGGCAAGAAATTCTTTCAGCTATAATATCCCGAATTCAGAAAGCAGTATTTTATGGAATTATATTTGACGAAACTACAGATGTCTCCCACAAGTCTCAGTTGTCTCTTGTCATTAGGTACATTTATGACAACACTATTAGAGAGGATTTCATTCAATTCATCGACCTTCATGATGAAATTATGAAAGAAGATACCATTAACAATGAAAAATTAATGGAACCAAAGGTTACTGGTAGTAAATTAGGAAAAATAGTGGTAAAGACTTTGGAATCACTAAATTTGGATCTTAAAAATTGTGTTGCTATAACAACAGATGGCTGTTCTATGATGGTTTCAGAAACTTGTGGAGCAGTTGAAGAAGTGCTCAAAGTTGCCACAAATGCTGTACATTGCCCTTGTTATAATCATTATTTGAACAATTCTTTATCTGCATCTTCAGATGTTCAAATAATCCGAAATTCTGTTGGCACTATGAAAGAAACGATATCGTTCTTCAATGCTTCAGCAAAGCGTTCCAACACATTAAGAAAAATAATGGGTGTTCAATTATGTGGCTTGTGTGAAACAAGATGGATCGAGAGACATGATGGAGTTTTGCAATTTCGTGTTTTGCTTCCAAAAATAATTGAAACCTTAAATCATGTATCTCAATGGCAAGATTCAAAAACGTCGTCAAAAGCAAATGCTTTAAAAATTGTTCTTTGTGAAAGTAACTTTTTAGTTGCAGTCGTTTGTCTTTCTGATGTGTTGAATACCACGCAATCCCTAAGCTACTTCCTGCAAAGAAAGCAAATCGATCTTAAATCAGCGCAGGATATGGTTCAAGATACTTTAAAGTTATTACAGAGAAAACGCGAAAATTGTGAAGAAAAATTTAGAAGTCTTTTTGAAGAAGTTAAAAACATTGCAAATGATATTGGTGTTGAAATTAAAATGCCACGTGTAGCCAGAATTCAAAGAAACCGTGATAATTATCCTGTAAATGATCCCGAAACCTATTTCAGACAAGCTGTTTATATTCCTGTTCTTGATAATGTGATGACAGATTTGAAAAATCGATTTTCAACAGAAGCTTTGGATTTATATTCATTTTCAGTTCTGTTTCCTGATTCTGTAACATCAAAAGATAGTACACCATCTAAAGAAGCTGTGAAGAAACTTTGTAACAGATATTCGACTTTCTTCAAGGAATGTCCAGAGGTTTTAGAAATATCTTTGACCACTGAGTTAGAGATGTGGCATATGCAATGTGATAGAAGAAATTATGATTCAAGCATTAGTGCTATGCGATTGTTTAACTGTTGTGATGTTGAAAAATATCCTCTTCTTCATACCCTTTTTAAAATTCTTTTAACAATGCCTTCAAGTGGAGCAAGTGCTGAAAGGTCATTTTCAACTTTGAAGAGACTTAAAACCTATTTGAGATCTACGACAACTGAAGAAAGATTGAACGGACTTGCATTACTGCATATTCATTATGACATTGAAGTAAATGTGGACCAAATTATCAATAGATATGCTAAAACTTGTAAACATAGACTAAATTTTATGTTGTAATAGTAAGGTTAAATTAAGGATTAAATTATTTATGAACTAAATTGTTATTCAACGTGATACTGTTATTCAAATTACATTATTTTCATATGCTTGACATATATCCTTTAATGTTATATATATATATATATATATATATATTTTTTTTAAATCGCCCCCCCCCCCAAAATTGGCTTCTGGATCCGCCCCTGTTTTATTTTCCGTTCAGTACGATTTTTGACCATCGCTTTGAACTTCAGGAAAGCTGATTTTACTTCATCTTTGGATTTGAGGAGGTAGATTTCAACCCAGTTAGACTTATCGTCGATGAAAGTGTCTAGATAGGATGCTCCTCCGAGAGTTTTTGTTCTCATAGGGCCGCAGACATCTGAATGTATCAATTCGAGTAGTTTATCACTTTTTGATAAGAAATTCTTCGGGAAAGGTTTGGATGTTTGTTTGCCAGGATGCAAGTTTCACATTGAGGGAGTTTATCTCCTCATTTGAATTTCAATCCATGAACAATATTTTTAACAGAAGTTTGTGTAAATCTGATTCATTCAAATGAACATACCTTTGGTGAAGTTTATCGAACTCACTCAATTGAGTGTTGTTTTCGACTGTTGATGCCGCTTCCCCTTTTTGAGTCTGTGATGCGTTGAAAAATTTAATTTAAATCTTCCGTCAAGTTTTACGCCAAACATTTATTCATTTTGGACATTTAAATCTTTATACAATTTTCTCTAAACTTTGAAATTAAAGTTTCCGAAGTTTCCAAATAAATCTTTAGGAAATTTTCAGGAAATTTTCGGTGCTGTGGGGGTGGGCCCATAACCTGTTGGTTATAACAACGTTTATTAACCGATTTATTAATTAAATACAAATAAAGTTGAATATTAAATAGACCGTTGTCGACGAGCGTACATTCAGTAGCGTGTGTAGACAGAAACTATAACTGTGTGTGTGTTAGTGTGAATAACTTGTGTACTTGAACTAAAGGTGTCTCTAATAATGCGTGTTGCATAATTTGAATGTCTGATAATTACAACAAATTCAGTTCTTGATACCAATCAACGCGGGAAGAAAAACTGCATTTAGTTGTTTTATAAACAATTATAAATGTTAATTAATGACTACAAAAAATAATATTTAAAAATGAAAACACATATGCAATTTTGTAGGGAATTTATTTAAATAATTAATTTCTTTCAAAATTCATTAAGCAAACAATTCTTCTCAATTTTTTCATCAGAATTGTATTTACGTAAAATTATTTACTTACTTTGAAAAATTTCAATCACAAACTGCAAACTGTTTTTATCGTGCGAAAAATAAATAATTTATTACCATATACCAAAATAAATCAATTTCGTAACACAAAAAATGTATTTCAAACAACTTTTCACCATCACAAAATACTTTGTTGACACGATAAAGTAAAAAAAAACTTCCTAATATATGTTAATAAAACGAAAATCCGCAAATAACTCAAAATTTTAAATTAATATTATTTTGTTTTTTGAAAGTTTAAAATAGAGTGGAATAATTAGTTTTATCTACATTTATCTATTTTACTAAATTTTATTGTTCATTAAAGGGCATAAACTTTTGCCATTTCCTTCAGTTTACTTTTGTTAATTTTCCCAGATGGTGTTTTAGGTAGTATATCCAAAAATTTTATTCCACCACGTAGTCTTTTAGTATCACCAAGAATTGAGGTCATTTTTAAAAGTTCCTCTTCTGATATCTGCAATGTAAAGAAATTTTAAGAAGGAAGAGCTGTGAATGTAATAAATTGAAATTAATAAATACATCAAATTTTTATAATTGTTCAACAATAATAACCTTAAAATGCATAGAACCCCAAGTAGCACGATATATAAACCAGATGTCACGGTGATATCACCGGGGAATGTCACCGTGACATCAGGAAAATGTCAAAATGTCCGCATTACGGTGATATCACCGTGATATCATGTTGATATTTTAGGGATTTAAAATTTTTTAAAAATTATTATTTTTTTTATTTATTATTATTTCTTAAATTATTAAAAATTTTAAATCCCTGTAAAATATCAACATGATATCACGGTGATATGACTGTGATATCACCTTGATGTCACCATGATATCACCTCGATGTCACCGTTAGATATCACCGTAAGGCGGACATTTTGACATTTTCATGATGTCACGGTGACATTCTCCGGTGATATCACCGTGACATTTGGTTGATATATCGTGCTACTTGGGACCCACATAGCACCATATTTTGCAGGAAGCTAACAGATAACTAACAGTGTTAAGTTCGGAAATTTTGACGGTTAGTTTCCCGTTAGCTTCCCTGTAGATCTATATGTCCCCCGCTATTAACTTATCCGTGATAGCTTCCAAAAAGTTATCGTAGTAAGTTTTCTAAAAGAGTGCAAAGAAATGTTTGTGAAATATTGAATTGTTATTTAACAAGAAGTTTGCTTATTAAGTTTCTTTAAAACTATTTCCGGTAAGTATTCTAAAGATTTTAATGAAAATTTCCATGTAATTAAAAAAGAAAGATTCTATTGAATTTCATTCAGTACAATTTAAAAAAAAATATTTATTTCTACACCTGTGCTTCTGATATCTGGCTGAAAAAAAAAATCTTCCACACACTCTACAACTTTATATTATCGACTTTTGAGTCGATAAGTTGGATCACTTGTCTATCAGTTAGTTGTAGAGTGTGTGGAAGATTTTTTTTTTCAGCCAGATATCTGTAGTGTAGTGGTTAGGGTCTCTAGCTAGCGCGCGGCGAATGTAGGTTCAATCCCCAGCACCCCATAATTTGTTTTCAAAAGTTCTTGCTCAACAAGCATGCAGTGCTTGATTCAATGTGAATCAAAGCAGAGCAACAATGTTTATATATTATTTATTTTATTTTTAATCCTAGATAGTAAATTTTTTTATTGACAATAATAATAATAATAATAATAATAATAATAATAATAATAATAATAATAAAAATAATAATAATAATAATAAAGATCTATCTATCTATCTATCTATTACTATTATTAATATTAATAATAATATTAATACTTCTTAAATATTATTTTTGTATCTTTTACAAATATTTTCGTCCAACCTTTTCTGAAAATTTAATTTAACTTTTTAGGAAATGTTCGTCACAAAAATTGACTGAATATTTAAATTACATTTTCACTCAACTTTCGGTATAAATTTTTAATAAATATTTAATTTAAATTTTTATTCAACTTTTACGCCAAACATTTCACGAAACTTTAATTTAAATCTTCACTCAATTTTCGCGTCGAAAATTTCTGGAAAATTTAATTTAAATCTTCCGTTAGTTATCTGTTAGCTTCCTGCAAAATATGGTGCTATGTGGGGACTTATTGATTTTAATAATTATACTATTAATTTCATAATTTTTTTATACATTTTAGACAGAATTTCAATTTCAACCTCGTGTTAAAATAAAATATGTGTGCTGTTTGCAACATCAATTTTTAAACTGAACTGCAAACACTATCGACTCCTTACAATAAGTTTGCAAAATGAGCAGAGCAAAAACAAAAACAATTATACGAGCACTTTATTATTTTAAATTGATAGATATATAATTCAATATTATTTCATACGACTCTCAAAATTTTCTAAATCTGTCATTTTATTTAAACTATTGTATCCTTCTTTTTTGATGAAATACATCTCAGCAGATAATCGCTTATTTAGATATAGTTTATTTTACAATTATTAAATTGTAATAAAAAATGTTAAACATAGAAGATAATTATTTGTTAAAATAACGAATAAAAATTAATTAAAATAGTAACTATTAAAAAAAATCTGTTATTTTTAATGAAGTATGAGAAGTAATATTACAATATTTAAATTAATTTTATATTTGTTCTTTAATAAATAATTATTTTCCACATTTAAATTTTTTCGTTACAATTTGCATTATTTGCAAAATTTACATGTATTACATTTTTTTTAGTGACATATACATAAATGCATTAATAAAGGTTCACATTGTGAACAGTCATTTTCTTTACATGATTTTTTATATAAAAGAATTTTAATTTACCAGAATTCTTATTCAATCAAATTTTAACTGATTCAAATTTTTCAATGACACATTCAAATTCACCGAATTTTTATTTGTACGAAGTTTTAATTGATAGAATCTTCATTTGTACGAAATTACAAATGGCCGAACAAACAATCGATAGAAAGATTTTGGCGCAATTTTTAAAATTGATCAATTAGAAATTATCAAGAAATTCGTGATTGGCCAATTTTAAAAATTGCGCCAAAATCTTTCTTTCGATTGTTTGTTCGACCATTTGTAATTTCGGAAAAATTCAAATTCGGTGAATTGGATTTTCTGTCATTTCAAAATTTGATTGAATGAGAATTCTGTAAAATTAAAATTCTCTTAAATAAAAAGTCATGTAAATTGAATGACTATAAAATAAAAATTCTGCTAAACAAAAATTTGGTAGCTACAAATTTTTTTAATTAAAAATTAGTATAAAAAGAAATTCTGTCATATGGTAATTCAAAATATGAAAATTCGTTTAAAAACTAATTATTTCTAATAAAATTATTTAAAATGAAAATTTTAATTAATGATTTTTAGGAGATAATCAATACACATTATTATATTATTAATAATAATAATATTAAAGTACCTTAAAATTGTTTAATGTTGAAATAAATGCAAGTGGATGTTCATCATCTGTTGAATGAGGAACTGGTACCACTGCAGCTTCCAATACTTTCGGATGTTTTATAAGAATACTTTCAATTTCAATTGGAGAAATATGGTGACCTCTGTACTTGATTACTTCTTTTAACCTTTCAACAATAAAGATATTTCCTTCCTCATCGTAAAATCCCATGTCTCCAGTGTGAAGCCAACCTATATTGGACGTATTTTACTATTCAAAAGATTATGGTAATAGAGATACTTAAATTCTCATGAATATAAAAAAATGCTGTAGAAATAATTTGTTATTATTACCATCTTTATCAATTGCTTCTTCTGTAGCTTTTGGGTTATTAAAATAGTGTTTCATCATATGCTCTTGTTTAAGATAAATTTCACCTTTTTCATTTGGGCCTAGAATTCTGTTAGTATTCACATCAATTATTTTCAATTCTAAATCGAAACATACTATACCACAAGAATCATGATTATTGTGACCCTTATTTTGTATAGTAGCAATTGTTCCTAGTTCAGTCATACCTAGAATGAGTTGAGTCTTATAGTAAATTAGTGGGTTGAAAATATTGCAAGCAAAAATTGATTAGAATATTTTCATTAATTAATATAAAAGCGTTAATTAATAGCAACGAAACCCTTTTTTAGGGTTTTTATTGGATTTTTTAAATCCTCATATTGAATTTCTGAAATTGTATGTTACACCTATTGACCTATTTACCTATTGATTTTACTGATTTAAATTTTGGAATTAAAACTTTGATTTTGCAACCCAAAAATTTTAGGAAGTGTAAATTTTATACATACCGTATCCTTGAAGTACTTCTCCATTTTTCAAAAGACTATTAACTTTTTTTGTAATTTGAGGTTGAACTTTTGCACCTCCTGTAGCTATTTCTTCTACTGTTGATAAGTCATATTTCTCCAACAAACCTGATTTATACATATCGTTAATAATTCCAGTTCCCAAAAACAGCCACTGAATCTAAATATAATAAAATGATATAAAAAACTTTTATTTTTGTGATAATCACTGATTATTTCTATCGAAAGTCGACTCTCGATAATTTGAATTTCAAGGGGCACCGAAAATAGTTCAAGTAATCGAGAGTTTTAATTATCGAATGTTTTAATTATGGAGAGGAAGTTTGAGAAAATTCAAATTAATGACAGTTTGGATTGCTTAAATGCACTTAAACGTGCTTCATCTAGAAAATTTTCTATTGACACAAAAAGTCTGAAAAAAATATTAAATAACATTTTAAAGAAATTCAAAAGTTTAAATTGACTAACTTTAATTTATAGAGCGTCCTGAGCTGACAGAAATTCAAATTATCGAAAGTTTGGTATTACTGACTTCAAATTATAGAGCTTCCAAGGACAAATTAGCTTAAACACGATTTTTAATTATCGAGTGTACCTAAACCCATTGGTTTTTTTCAAATTATCGAGAGTTTTTCAAGGGACCGACATCCAACTTCAAATTACCGAAAAATTCAACTTATCGAATGTTTAATTATCGAGAGTCGACTGTATTAAGATAGGTTAATAATAAAAACGATGATATTTGGAAAAATAGATGATAATAAACTGTCTCCAACGTTTTGAAATCAAAATGATTTCCTCTTTCGGGTGTCTAATAATAAAACAAAAATAATTACAAAAAAAACAACAATATGAAAAATAAAAATAATAAATAAAGATAACAAAAAATTAAAAAATAATTGATTAAACTAAACATAAAATAAATTTAAAAATTTGACAAAAATACAAAGAAATAAAAAAACGAAACACATAATATACAGAAAAAAAGTAAATGAAAATAATAAAATAAAAATACCAAATTATTACCAAAACAAGATGAATATAAAAATTCAATAAATCATTCTCACAATCGTCATGATATAAGAACTGTCATAGAATAAACATCCAAAAAGACACCCATACATATATTGGAGAAATAGTATATGGAGTCAGAAAACAAAAAATTCAAATAAACTTTTAATTACAAAATAATAAATAAAAATTCAAACAAACTGCTGCCGTGCTGATGAAGAAAGTCCGTACTTGCATTTAGAGTGTTTTCGAGATATTTAAAGAAACGCGTTTTTAACTAGCATAATTAATATATAAAAGTTATTAAAATAATTACAACGGTACTTAACTAATTTTGGCATGCTCTATTTAATGGCGCAAAAAAAATTTCAAAATTTTCATTTTTTATAAACAAAATGTCGATTACTGCCAAAAATTAATTTTAAAATCCTGAAAATACTGTCACAGAGTCCGTAAGTGCTCCTACGGCTCGATGACGTCACGACCATAGAGTCCGTACTTGCAGCCTATTACGTATATTCTATCTTGTGACTATGGAAAAAAGTATTAGGCTTTTATATTTTTTACAATTTTTGATTGTTGTTATTTAAAAAAGTACAGAAGTGTAATAAATAATAATTTACAAATAAATTAATAATAGTTTTTCTTTAATTTCTTAATTATTATTAATTTATTGAACTGAAAGAAATTCAGAAAATATTAGACAAAATAAAATTCAATTGTCACTGAAATATAATATTTAATTATAAACAAATATATTATTATCAGTCATTTTGTTGAATTTATCAAATTATTTTAAATGATGTTGATTTTTTATTTTAATAATGGTTGTTTATAGTTGTTAATGTTATATTATTATTATTATTATTATTATTAAATTAATTAAAATTAGTATTTTCATTTAAATGTTTATTTATTTTAGATTAATAATAAATAATTAAATTACTTAAGTTAATGTAATGTTATTTGTAGAAATGCAAGTACGGACTTTTTCCATCAGGAAAGTTGGTCCTTTATCGCCAGAAATACTTGAGGCAAAGAGTCCGTACTTGCTCTTACGGCCCATGGCATCAGTATTTCTAGTCAAGTCAGACCACATTTACTGGCAGTACTTGCCCTTGCGGACTCTGCTTCCAGTAAAGTTCGTAAATACGTCATCATTTTCGAGCAGTAATAGCACTTACCGACTATTTTTGCTTGCAAGTACGGACTCTGTCAAAATGATTTCGCGAAATCACTGTAATTAAACACTAATTAATTAACATTAATAAAAAATATTACTACAGCTAGATTCCTTTTTTCATAACGAATCCAGTGATATAAAAAACTCATTTTCGATAAAAATGTCGATTACTGACTTTCTTCATCAGCACGGCAGAACTAGTATAAAATAATGTACTAAATAGTTTAAATTACAAATTAAAATTAATATATAAAATATAAGTAAAAATAATAAAAAATATACCACAAGAATAATCCATTTCTTAAAAATCAACAAAATTATTTAGTTAGATAATTTTAAAACAGATATTTCAAATCGAAAGTGAACACAAAGTTTAATTTTGTTTCATAAAATTGTAGTAATAATATTGATTTCAAAGGATTTCAAACAGAAAGATATGAAAATGATTCTCAACCAATCAAATCGAAGGGGAAATAGAATTTCCGTGTCATGGACCTAATTTAATGATTTCTTGAAATAAACAAATAAAACCTTATATTTTTGGGTTGCTTGACAAACTTCTTCAGGTGTTGGATTATTCATAATAACTGCTGGAAAGATATTTGACAAACTGCGCAAGGTGCAAAAAGTACCGGATATCCAATATAATGATGAAGTATGCATCATGATGCATGTTTTTCTTTTTTCAAATCTACAATTGAATCTGTACATGTTGTAATGTATAGCTCGATATGTGTGTTGTACACCTTTAGGCAAACCAGTACTTCCGGATGAGAACAATATTAAGGCATTATCGTCATGTTTTACTGGATAGCACTGAAAATTCTCAACCTCTTTTGCACTTCCTTCTTTAATAATATCATTAAAGGAATTAAGTCCTGGAACTTTGCCAAAAACGACAATTTTCGTATTTACATTCTCTTGTTTAGCAACTTCTTTAAGCATTTTTGCTGATTTTTCATTAGCAAATATAACTTTTGGTTTTGTAAGATTTAAGAAATATTTAGCCGTTTCTGAAAATAATATTTATCTCTCATAAATAAAATTTAAATCATTGTAATAATTTATTTAAATAATTCTGATGAACATTTTAAAATTCTTTCTTCATGGATGTTGCAGTTTTTTTTTGCACATTTTTTTCCAATTTTCTATTTATTTATACTAAAAATTTATTATCCAAATTTAAACCTGCCCAAGTGAAAAAATTAACGTTACTAACGTTACTAATGTTACTGACATTACTAATGTTACTAACGTTAGTACCTATAAAAAAATTAAGAGTTTCTAAAATATATTTTCACAGAAACTTTGCCACTACTTTCCCATTACCACTTTCACTTCCACTTAAACTTTTTATAATTTTCATTCCCATTTCCACTTATTCTTTTTCTAATTCTCATTCGTACTTCCATTCTCACTTCTACTCTTTCTAATTCTCATTCCCACTTCACTTCCACTTTTTCTAATTTTCATTCCCATTTCCACTTCCACTTTTTTATATTCATTGCCACTTCCACTTTTTCTAATTTTTATTCTCATTCCTATTTCCACTTCCAGGTTTTTATATTCATTGACACTACCACTTTTTCTAATTCTCATTCACACTTTCACTTCCACTTGTTCCAATTTTCATTCCCATTTCATCTTTTACTTTTTTATTTTCATTACAACTTTTTTATATTTTCACTCCCACTTCCATTCCTAATTTTTTAAATTTTCATTATCACTTTCACTTTTTCTAATTTCCATCCATGGTAATTAAAAAAAGTGGAAATGGTTGTGTAAATGGAAATTAGAAAGAGTTTTAGTCGAAATGGTAACAGCTAATGAAAATTAGAAGTGGAAAAAATGGAGTAGAAGTGGAAATGAAAATTAGAAAAAGGGAAGTGGGAATAAAAATTAGAAAAAGTGCAAGTGGTAATGAAAATAAAAAAGTGGAAGTGGAAATGAGAATTAGAAAGAGTGTAAGTGGGAATGGAAGTGCGAATGAGAATTAGAAAAAGTGAAAGTGGAAACGGTAATGAAAATAAAAAAGTGGAAGTGATAATAGAAATGAAAATTATAAAAAGTGCGGGTATGAACATTATATACTTCCTGGTGGTCGATTTTCGACAAGTTTCTGCAAAAATACAATTTAGAAACATTTTCTTTATTTTTTTATATGTACTAACGTTAGTAACATCAGTAACGTTAGTAATGTTAATTTTTCTACCTGGGTGTAACACCCTCTTAGAAATGATGTTCAAAATTATTGCCAGTTTTAATTAAAAAATAAAAAAATTATTGTTAATTTTCCAGTTAACAGAAATTGTAATTCTTTTGTGTATATTATACTTTACAATTTATCAGAAATTTAAATTATTTATCCAAAAAGTTTATAAAATAGAACCCTTAAATAAAATCCATTAATAAAGTATGTAATCAACAGACTATAAACAATTATAAGTTAATTAGTACGGAGTAGCATAAAGATGAGTATAATTTAAAATAAATAAAAAAAGCAGAAAATCATTAGTGCAAGAGCGATTATAGCGTAAATCAATCTCTCTTATTTCACATTCATAATTTTTTTTACATTTTGAATCGATATGAAATAAAAAACACAAGATGAAATTAAATCATTTTTTAAAATGGAATGAATAAAATGGAAATTGAAAAAGGAACAGAAGCAACGAAGACGGCCGCTTGCGGCCGTCGGCGGCGCTAGTATTAAATAATAAACAATGTTTTTGCAGAGTATAAAACATTCCTACACGCTTTCAGCTGTTTCGCAACCGCGCATGCGTTACCAGAGAAGGAAAGACAGTAGGCCGATAAAACCGCTGTCTCTCTCTAAAACGACTATCGCTCCTTTTGCTCGCTTGCGTACTCTATTCTTATATCTCTATGGTTTCAATATCCTGTAGGGAGCCCAGTGGGATCCTGCATAGGATTCTTAACAGGATCGCTCTGGGAACCTTTAAGGATCCTATGTAGGAACCTCTAGGGATTCTTTAATAGTTATAGGGATAGTTTACATACACATACTGGATTATTCTGGACTCATTTTGGATTGTTTTTTGATGTAACTAAAATAAAATTGTTGCGGGCTAATTGCGGATTTACTTCATATCAATTTCGGACTATTCCGGACTGATCTCAGATTAATCTTTTCATTCAGACTGATTGCTGACTAATACAGATCATTTTCAGATTGTTTTCGTACAATTTATGGACTAATCCGAACTGATCTGTCTGTATTTAATTTGAAATTAGACCGAAATTTTAATCAGGGATATACGTCTTAAGGATGTCCTAAAGACAATTCATATTTTCGTTCCCACAGGGTAGATTTCTAAATAAATTTAGTTACCAGCTGACCAATCGTGGAACCAAGGATTGAGATTAGCTCCGATGAAAAATATTCCACAAAAAGGGGCCCAAGTTCGAATGTGATTATGAGAGCAGATTGTTACTATATCACCAGGTTTAATTCCTTGCTTTTTAAGCCATAAAGCACAACGAATACTGGCATCCGTCAATTTTTCATATGTCCACATTTCTCCAGTTTGTGCATCGATCTATAATTACAAGACATACTAAAGTAAATAAAAAAAAACCGCTGCCAAGTTGAAGTATTAACTTTTTCGGTTCATTTCATGAACACTTTGCTTTCTTATGAACATTTTTTGTGACCAATATTTATGGTAATTAACTTATTAAGTATTATAACAATTTTACAAAGATGTTAAGTTATATTTTTTGGGTCATATTTCCTAAAGTTTTATATGAAATGCATTCATACTTCACAGAAAACTTTTTTAGATTAATAAACATTGTCTCAGGAAGTTCTTTTAAGGGGACTTTCTGGTTTAGAATTTCAAAAAAATCGATTTTTTTTTTTGCTTAAAAATGTTCCACAGTGTCATAGAATTACTGTCCCAAAACGTTTTTTAAAAAATATGTACAAAAACAAAAGTTATAACACTATTTATGACGGTATGTATTTCAACAACAATCTACAGTTATCTTATTTACATATTTGGTGTTCCTCTTTTATTGATATTAGCTTGAAACATGTTACTCGAGGGTTTTTGGGGTCGCTGCTTACGAATTTGATGTCAGTTTTTGAAAATACAAAATGGCGGATCCAATATGGCGGACGAAAAAATAAAAATTCAACCGGATTTGCTTAAAACTTGTTACTCGGGGGTTTTTGGGGTCGCAAGTTTTAAGCAAATCCGGTTGAATTTTTATTTTTTCGTCCGCCATATTGGATCCGCCATTTTGAATTTTCAAAAACGGACATCAAATTCGTAATCAGCGACCCCGAAAACAGCTGGATACGAAGTTCTGTTGTAATAAAAAGTTGTTTGATATTCATGACTCAATGAATTATGTTATGAAAACCTTGAACGCGTTTTTCTCGAAAACTCATTTTTCAAACTGGTACAGAGCTTTTCTCGAAATCTACCGAACCGATTTTGAAATCCCAAAAATTTTTCAAATCTTTATTTAAAAAACTGGTGCCTAAACCTCTAAAAACTCATATTTCTACCCCCTGTGTTTTTATATGGAGGTAAATTGACCCAAAAACACGGCGTTTTTGCGAGTTTTTGAGAAAAATGTACATAAAAAATAAAAAAACCTTTAAAAAAAATCGTTTTTGAGGTTTAGGCCCCAGAATAAATCCTTATGAAGAGATTCCCGTTTGGAACTTGAATTTATGTATTACAGGTTGCCCGGAATCTAACGTACCAAAAAAAGGTATCTTTTGGAAGACGCCACCTACAGCTATGAAATTGAACTAAATACACTCAAACATATTTTTTAAATTTTCTCTACGCAATGTGCTACAATGTCCAAAAATAGTTTTTACAATTTCTTTAATACTGTTCTTACAATAAAAGTTTTAAAACCTTCCTTTTTTGTCAATTCTAAACCAGAAAGTCCCCTTAATTTAAAAGTTTCCTGCATACTTTTTGTCGCTGAAGTTGAGAAACCATAAATTCTCAAACGCCTCAAGTTTTATTAAAAAATAATTAAACAATTAACTTTTTTTAAATTTGTAATAATTTTGTCGGCTTTTGTGGACCTAAATATATACGTAAGTATAACAAATTTCACTTAATTTCGTAAAGATTTGTTTAAGATAGGACAATTTATGTTTTAAATTTCAATGAAATTGAGAAAAATAAAAATTCAGTTTTTCTTCATTATTGGGTACAAAAATATTTCAAAGACAGAAAAAAATTTTCAACTTCCCTGGTGGATCTCGCAAACCGAATGCTAACCGAATTCGGTTGACATTCGGTTTGAAGTCAAAAATCTCAAAAAGTCAGTAAAATATGGTGAAAACAATGATTATAATATGTAATAAAATGGATATCCAAAGTGTTAATTATGTGTGCTTACCTGATGCCGATTTAAAAGTTTAAAAGCCAGTTTTAAACAGTATTTTAAAAAACACTGAAATTGTCGAAAAAGGTAAGATTTTATTATATTTAAATATTTAAATTGTCTATTTATTAATAAAGTGACTTTAATTAGTGTTTACCACACAGCACAATATCTTGCTGTAAGCTTCCCTTGAGTTTAAACATAAGATTCGTTAGCTTACAGCGTAAACTTCAGGTGAGGTTAAGGTGAGCTGCAAATGTCCTATCTACCGTAAGCTGCAGTGTAAGATTGTAATCAGCTTTCAGTTAAGCTTACTATAACCTTACTGTGAGCTTCCCGTAAACTTTCTGTAATCTTCGTCTATGTAAGCTTACATTATTAATAAATGTTAATAAATAAATTAAACAATTATTCATGCGCAATAGTTTATTATAGCTTTTTATAGTATATCCTACATCACAATATATATTATCATCTGGTGTGAAAAATAGTTAAATATTAATAAATAACTAGCAACTTTGTCGTCCGCAAGCGGCCGACTACGTTGCTAGTGTGCATTAACCATATTTTTTATTCTTTTATTTTCAAAAAAATTTAATATTAGAAATGTAAAAAAAATTTCTTTATATTAGATCTACCACCCAAGTAGCAAGGAATATTGCTCGAATGTCAAGCTGATATCAAGCGGCAATATTTTAGTGACATTCAGGCGATATCATAATGTCCTTTTCACGGGGACATTCCTCGGTGATGTATCTATATGATCTATGTGACGGCCTTTCACACAAAAAATGTAACGCATTACAAAACTTACATTCTACATTTATTAAACCTAAATAATTCTGTGGAACTTTACTTTCATTGAAATCTTTAAAAGACATTATTGCAACTCCTGCAGTTTTTTTATTCCAATTATTGTTTTTACATGCCAAATTCTTTTCTTGACGCACTTTCTTTTCATCTTCCGTTTCCGTAGAAAATTTTTTCTTCTTACATGACAAATTATTTTCTTGACGCACTTTCTTTTCATCTTGAGTTTCCATTGATATTTTGCTTTTCCTACATGCCAAATTTTTATTCTTGCGTATTTTCTTTTCATCTTCAGTTTTTATAGATAATTTCTTTTTTTTTGCATGTCAAATTTTTTTTTGCGCTCTTTCTTTTTTATATCTGTTTTACTACGATTACGTTTTCTCAATCTCTCATTCTCCTGTCTTATTATTTTCTACTCATATGTAACTTCGCGCCTTGCCTCCCTTTTTCTTCCCTTCTCTTTAATTGCTCGAATTATCTTTTTATCATTTTCTTTACTCAGAAAATTCTTCATTTTTAAATATTCATGTGGTGAAATTTTGTTCACATTATTATCAGTTGTACAAATTATTTTCTTTTCACTAGTGTCATTTAGAGAATGTTTAATTTTTAAATATTGTGTTAATAGAACTCTGTTAATATTATTACTGTGCAAAGTATTAAAAACAGAACAAGAGTTTAAAATATAATTTTTATGTTCCTAAGTTCAATTTATGAAAAGACGGTTCTAATTATTCTCTATTATCGAATTCCCATTGTGAGACGTTCTTACTGCCAGAAAATGATTTAAGCGATTATTTTCAAACATTGACTTAAAATGGTTTCTCATTTTGTTATTATCAGTTTCATAATTTATACGGTTTGGCATTACGTTAAATAATACAGATGTTGCAAATGCTATTGCATATACTCCACACTAAACACTACCAAAAAGTTGTTGATTAACAGCTTCAAAAACTACTGTTGGTTTAAAAGGGAACAATCTAATTAAACATTTTATTTGATGCACATTTAAACACCCCTCATTAAGGCTATCAAAAATATAAAGCCTTACTCTATCGTAATAAACATAAATTCAGTGACCATAATTGTTATTACCGCTAAAAAGTATTTGAATATGTTTATCACCTTCTCTAATTGGGACAATAAAATCAAGCATTTGTACATACAAAGTACTTTGCACATTGAAAAATAAATTGGAATCTTTTCTTAATAATTCTTCAAATTTGTACATATGCATGTAATTTAACAATTTATTTCTATTTTCAATAATTTTTAAATCTTTATCACTTAAAATAACATACTCTTTTATGTTGGCCATAGTATACTTCGTTTAATTTTATTTTTGATTGATGAAAATCTAAATATCTTTAACCCTTTTGCTCACTCTCTCTAATATAACCAATTTTGTCTTTAATTCAATACAACCAATTTTACCTTTTATTAAAAATAAGCAATTTTTCCTTTAATTCAATACAATTAATTTTACCTTTTACTAAATATAACCAATTTTTCCTTTAATCCAATATAACCAATTTTGCCTTTTATCCAATAAAACTACCAAATATCCAAAAGAATGAGAGAACTATGAGTAACTATGAATCAGTAACTACTGATCAGCAAATAAGTGCAAAAAGGACACTCTTATATGAGTAATCAGTAGTTCATTACAAATAACATATATACGTATTTATACCTGTATTAAAACCCCGGAACAAATACCACAAAAAAACCAACCATTGGACAATAGAACCTTTGTTAATGGGGATTAACTCTGAGGACCCAGGTAATAATTTCTTTTTTCACATTTATTATATAGAAAAATAAAGATGTACCAACCCTTGGCCAATAGAACCTTTGTTAATGAAGATTAACTCTGAGTACATAATGAAATGTACAGTAGGTTTACATTGACATCGGCACGTCCGACGTCTCGAAATTTTTTCCGTGTATTATCACAAGGAAATATAAAGATAAAAGTCAAAAACTGAAGAGGTAATGTATATCTTTCTTTCTCACATCAAGGAATATAACATATAATTTTCATTTAATATTGCATTTCTCTATCTAGAGGATTCAAAATAACATAAGAATATCTTCGCCTAAAAATCTTACTCTTCTTTCTTTCTGTTTTCAAAATAAAAAAAATATGTATATACCAGTATTAGACTCTCAGAACAATTACCACAAACAATACCTATCCTTGGACAATAGAGCCTTTATTAATGAAGATTAATTCTGAGGGGACAGGTAATAATTTTTATATTTTTTTATTAAAATTTTCTGGGGCTCTAATACAGGTAGGGGAGAGTGATAAACAGTGGGACAGTTTAAACAGTAAGTCACTTTAATTTTCTGAAAAACTGCT